CTCCCCCATCCCCCCTCTCCCAGTGCACAAATCTCGTGCACCAGGCCTCTAGTTTCTTAATATTTATCTTTATAACTTCATCTTATTTCAATTGAATTGAGCTTTTATTTCTGGCTTCTCAGTATCTCATATTTGTAGCCCCTGTTTCTCTTTCAGAACAGGTTTCTCTCCTTCAGTCCATTCAGCATATGGCCACTGGATTTTCCCAAAATTCAAATTGAATTATGCTGCCTCCCTTCTTTAAAAAGGGCTCATGCTTTCCATCCACTCCTTTCCTGGCATTCGAGGCTTTTCCCAGCCGTCCCCACCTGCCTTGCCAGCCTTGTCCTCCATTAGCTCCCAGGGCATTGCTCACTGCATGTGCCCTGACTGCCAGCCTGCGCCTGCCTATGTCTCCCTCCCCACACAGAGTCCACTGTCCCAAGTACTACTTCTATCTGTCTGTCTCTCACCTGCTCTGTGACTCCTTGAGACCAAGGTCCACATCAGATTCAGTTTGGTTCACTCAGGACCTACTTCTGAGCATGGTGGGTACCTGCAAAATATTTGTCAAATAACTAAACGTCCAGGTCCTTAGACATTGGGATTGAGGTGACGAAGAGCCCCCAACACGGGCATCGTGGGAAACCTGTAAGGTCCCTGGCCCCGGGCGCCCCCTTCCCACTGCCAGTGCTCTCCCTGCCATTCAGAATGACTTCTCCATCTGGACCCCACCTGTGGCCCCTCCTGCACAGGGTGACCTGGGTGTGCCCCCTGCCCTCCCCCCAGAACTTTCACCTGCTCAACTGGCGTCTTAACTTTGGGACCCCCGTGAAGTCAATGACCCATTTTGTTCTCATCTCCCTCATTTCTCCTGTTGCCGCAGACCTGGGGGCAGAGAGCGTCAGCGGCACCCTGAGTGCGCTCCAGCAGTGCGCCCCTCCGGACAGCGCTGGCACGTGCGCCCAGACCACAGGGAGCTCCTCAGCCGAGCAGCGCAAGGCGTATGTGGGGATCATTCCAGTGGCTCCTGGAAGCTATTTGGGGAGATTGATCCAGGCCTGGTCACGGGCCAACACAAAGAGGCCTTTTATTTACCGTCCAGGACGGCCAGGAGCTTTGAAATATGGCTGAGAGGACTTGGCAGTAGACACAGATGTTGATGAGTGAGCACCAGCCCTGCTGGCCTGGGCGGCTGTAGTTGGAGGCCCCATCAGTCCAAGAGCGCCCTGCTGCTCTCTGCTTCTGGTGCGGCTGCTGCCGGGCTGTAGGGGAGGCAGCCAGGAGGGCAGCCGCAGGGCGCCTGCTGGGCAGTGAGGCTTCCCACCCACGAGTGTGCGTGGGGCTTCCCTGGTAGCAGCTCTGGCCAGCAGGAGCCAGAGGGAATTGGAGTTTATTCCAAAATAGACAATCCCCTGTGTCACAGGGAGGCCCAGGGACAGCCAGCCCAGGCCCCGCTTGTGGGTGCACTGAGCTGCTGCCGGGACCTCCCTCCACAGCCTCGGCACTTCCCTGTCCTCGCGCCTTAGAGGGTTAGAGGTGCCCCGTGCTGTTACTCCAGAGGGTGACGGAGCAGTGCGAGCCCAGGGGAGGGCGGCCGAGCTAGTGCTGGGAGGCAGCACCTCCCAGCCTCGGGCAGGCAGACAACAGCTGAGCCCTAGCCTCTGCCCATGCCAGGGCTGCAGAAACGTTCTTCTAAGTGCATGTGAGGAAGGTGCCATGGGTAGGAAGGGACTGCAGGCCACCCCCACCCCCGTGACCCTGGGGCACTGACTCTGCTTGTGCTGCTTCATCTCCAGGGTAACCTGTGAGGACCCCCAGGCTGCCGGAGGACTCACTTCTGCCCTAGACAGTCGGAAACAGATCTCCGAAGTGGTAGGTCTGGCCCTGCTTTTCTGCCTGGAGGCCATGCAGGGGAGCTGGGCAGTTTGGTAAAGCTGGCGAGGTGATGAAGCAGACGCAGGCTTGGTGGAGGGCGGGAAGGACCGGAGATAAGGCAGAAGTGGAGGACGGTGCTCGTCCGACTCCAGTGCACCCTGGTTTCTGTAAGTCTCAGATCATCGCAGGGGAAAGGAGTTGTGTCTTCATGTTTCTCGTGAGATTGTTCCCTCTGCCTAAGCGGTGTGTGGATGAATGTTTGTTTGCAGGGGCAGGGGAGGGCTGGGCCTCCTTCTGAGGTCCCCCAGCTGGGCTAGGAAAGGGCGTGCCCATTGCTCCTCTACCGTCCCCCCCCCCCCCCCC